ACGGGCTGCGGCGCCGCTAGGGAGTCGGGGATCGGCGTCCCCCATTGCTTAGGGAAGTTCTAGAAGTGAGGAGGCTGGGAAGGAACCCCGAAATTTTGCCCCACTTCCTTTCGGCCTTTCTCCTGATGCCCCCTCCGCAGATGAGGCCGGATCGCGGGCCTGGGTTTGGGGCTTCACCCCGACCCCACCTCTGGCCTGGCCCTCGCCTTCTCAGCCCCCGGGGCTAGGCCTACCCGCCGCCCCCACAAACTGGTTTCTCTGCTTTGCTGGGTTCTGTTGGAACTAGTTCTTTGACTCCCCGTTTCTATTTTTTTCTGGGGTTCTATGTTGTGGTGAGGGCGCGTTGAAGGAGGGGGCTTTCTTCCTCTTCCCCCGCGCGAGCGCGCGCCAGGTTTCCTGCCCCAAGGCGGGCTTGGGTGCCCCCTCTGGCAGGAAGTGGGGCCGGTGCACCCGCGTGGCGGTGCATGCGGTCGGGGTGCGCTGATTTCCCGCGCCTGGATGGGCGGCCTGCGCCCCTCCCCCAGCGGGCCCTGGCCCCTAGTCCTGCCTGTCGGCCTACAGCGGCCTGGTACAGACACTTGCAGAGTCACCCTGGGTCCAAGTCTGGAGCAGTATTTGCCAGGGTCCTAAACCAACTTCTAGGCGGATAAACAGTGTGGCCGACTGATAGGGTCTCCGACAACCTACTCCATCCTGCTAGCCAACTTGCTGTGTGACCTTGGGCCACTCATCAGTTTCTCTGGGCTATGTTTTATTTACTTTTAAAATTAAAGGCTAAGATGATTTCCCAGGGTAATTCTTAGAGTCCTTAAGCATTTGAGGAGCTCACTACGTATGTGGCAGATACAGGCTTGAGGCCCAATAAGGCTCCCTACAAACTGAGGGATTGGGGTTGGGCTTTAAATGTGGCTTCTCCAGGACAGGCTTTGCTGATGTTCAGAAACAGGTGGAAGAGACCAGCGTTTCTTGGCCTCACTAGTAAAGGCCTTCTTAGGCCTTTATTCATTTCATGGGGGTTTGGTTCTGGGGGAGGTGGATTAAAGGGTCACCAGCAGCAGGAATTGTGGAAAGGCACCAGTCAGTATGAGGTTCCAGGGAGACCCACCAGGATCTTCAGACAGGCCCGGCCCAGGCTCTTGAAGATTCTGGACTGGCTTCCTTCAACTGGAACCCTCTCTGTGAGGGGACCTGGGCTGGACTTTATGTGAGGTCAGGACTCATTTAGCTTATTAATTTTGATGTTAAGTTTGAAGGGGGAATCTGTGGTGTAATACAAGATTCTAATCACTGCCTGTAATTACAGAACAGGCCAAGCCACCAATGACTAATGACAGAGCAGGACAAATCACCAACCACCTTGTTTAAAAGGGTCTCCAAGTCTTAAATATTGTAAAATAATTACCAAAGACCGGTCATCTGGAGGGTCGCTTAATGCTTGAGGGGGGTTTCAGGCCCTCCAAAACTCACAAGTTTGTGAAATGTTTTTTCCTTTTATTGGGTTAAAATTAGAAATTGCTTCAAAAGCTGAAAAGAGGAAAGAAAAGACATTTTCAAATGGTCTAGTTCTTTTGGTGGAGTGAAGTTTTTTTTTTTTTTTAATTGAGAGAGTCTCACTTTGTGGCCTTCCGTAGAGCGCTGTGGCATCATAGCTCACAGCAACCTCCAACTGTTGGTCTCTTAAGCCATTCTCTTGCCTCAGCCTCCCAAGCAAGTAACTGGGACTACAGGTGCCTGCTGCAATGCCCAGCTTGTTTATTATTGTTATTGTTACTATTTTTTATTGTTGGGGATTCATTGAGGGTACAAGAAACCAGGTTACACTGATTGCATTTGTTAGGGAAAGTCCCTCTTACAATCCTGTCTTGCCCTTGAAACCAGCTTTTTTTTTTTTTTTTTGTAGAGACAGGGTCTCGGGCTGGTCTCTAACATCTGAGCTCAGGGCAGTCCACCCCCCTCGGCCTCCCAGAGTGCTAGGATTACAGGCATGAGCCACTATGCCAGGCCTTTTTCATTATCTTAAGTTTTTAAAAACTATTAGCCTAGTTTGATCCTTGAAGCAGTTTGGAAAGGCAGTTGATCAGGTACCTTATCATTCATTACCTATCTTACAGATTGAGAGCCTTTCAGAATTAGAGCTATTTGGGCCCACCTATTTACGAAGGGCAGGCTTCGGGGTAGCCCCAGGATGGAGATATATGGGACCATCACTTCCCAAATACAGAGTGCAGGCACTAATTGCCACAGGAAGGGGTTTGGGGTAAAGTCACAATGAATGGTGTCAACTGAACCCCAATAGGCCTCTGAGAAGAAAGATGATGCTAGAAAAAGGACCAAGATGCTTGTAGGGTCAGCCCTACCAGAGCTCCAGGGGGCCAGCTAAGCTCTGTTACTTGGGTTTTTTTAGTTGACTGTAGTAGGTGGGCAGAGCCAGCCAGGGGTAAAGGGAGAGAAGAGGACACACTTTGGGTTTGGACACCTTTTCCTTTCTTACTCTACTCACTGCAAGTTCAGCCATCTTCCTCTTGTCAGCTGTCCCCATCTCTGCATGGGGGCATTACCCTTGGAGAGTTGGTGTGGAGGCACCAACCCTGGTTGCCTGATTGACACTTTTGCTTTTAGCATTTAGTTGAGGCTTGGACCTTGCCAGATAGCCAAATTTATCATCAGCACAGTAGGCAGGGGGTTGTCAGCCATAGCTGCCAGATCTCAAGGTCTCATTCTTTCCACTTCTTAGTTGCCTGTGAACTGCCCAGGTTTGGTTTTTCTCCTAAAGAAGAAGGGCAACAGCTGGCTACAGAGGGAGGGCACCCTGGCAGTGTGTTAGCCCCCACCCCGCCCACACCTTTGCCCCACCCATGCAGCTAGGTCTGGGCTGGCTGGCTGTATCTCCTGGGCCTGTGGGGGTGGTGTCAGGGCAGGACAACAAAGAGCCCTTCTGAAGAGCAGATAAGGAGCTGATTAGGCCCAACGGCCCTGCCCCACCCAGTGGCAGCATGCTGGGGTGGCAGACCCCTCCAAACTGGACAGGGTTAGTGGCCCCCACCACTGGGAGCAGGCAGTTTCCTGCAGCATACCTTGAGGTTAGGGGGTTGTGAGGTGGTAAGAAGTGGCCATAGCGAGATGTTATAAAACCGCTCTCACTGTCTCCTAGGATCCCAGCCATCACTCTTCCACCTAATCGAAGAGGAGGAAAGATGAGTGAGTCGAGCTCGAAGTCCAGCCAGCCCCTGGCCTCTAAGCAGGAAAAGGATGGGACTGAGAAGCGAGGCCGGGGCAGGCCGCGCAAGCAGCCTCCGGTGAGTCCTGGGACAGCGCTGGTAGGGAGTCAGGTGGGTGTCCAAATCTTTGCTTTGGTGTACTCTTTTGGGCTAGGGGGGTACCTGGTGTCTCAGTAAGTGGGAACATGCATGGAGTGCAGAGTCATTCCTGTGTGTGTTTGTATTTGTCCTCCCTTCCCATGTGTTCTCTACCCTGCATGCAACTCCAAGACCCCAGGAGAGAACTGGGAGCCTAGGTATTCATGCTGAGTTTTGAAGCCTGTGCCTGAAAGTCTAAGCCAGAGGCAACCTGGTGATCATAGGCCAGTACCCACGCTATGATAAACCTCCCACCCTTTTTCTTTTTCCAGTCTACTATGGACCAGTGAATTAACAGAAATGAAAATAAACTAAAAGGCTAAGGTTTTAATCATTAGAGTCAGTGCACATAAAATTACTGTCAGTTTGCTATAAAAGTTTCTAAGTAACTTATTGTCAATTTCTGTACTTCTCAGCTCAGGCTGGATCACCCACGGCCCACCCTTTGAGTAGTCCTGGAATGGACTTTGCCTCTGGCTCTTTAAATGGAAATTGAAGCTCAAGAAGTAAAAAAGGGAGTTGTTGGCAGTGGTCCTCAGAACCCTGGTGTTGCTCCCACAAAGTCTCACAGGATGAGACAGTCAGCCTGGTACTGTGGGGCATCCTAGGGAGAGTGGCAAGCCAGGTGGTTTGTGGTTGAGACCTTTGTTTCTCCAGAGGCAAGTGTCCCCCAGGTGAGGAATAACTGTTGGTTAAGCCCAGTCACTAACCATTCCTGGGAAAGAGAAAGGTGAGGGAAGGAATTAGGCCGACTCTTGCTGCTTAAATGTTGGGCAGAATGTTTCACCTGCAGGTCTTCCCTGTGTAAGGTAGAACATGGTCTGTACTGGCCAGTCCCTGGGTCTTAAGGACACATGAGCTGTGAGGAGTCAATTGCCACCTTCTGAGCCTGAGGTTGAGGAACTCATCCTCCTCTTAGCCTGTCCCTTGACTGTTAGCTTTGCTCAGTGGTGGGGAGTGTCCAGAGGGGTGTTGGGTTACTGGACCATGGTTATAAACAGTCTGTGGGCAGCTGCCCCTGGGAAACAGTAGCTGACAGCTTTTACTGCCCAGCTTTTATGCAATATGCAGAAGCTTTTTATTCCATCTCAAGCTTATTAAAATTTGAGTGGCAACAGTGGCAGGGATCTCTGGGGTCTGGACATACATCTTCCCCAGAGGCATCCTAGAGGTGACCCTTCCCCTTGGATGCATCCCAGTAGTCTCCAGCATGTGTCATTTAGGGGAATAGGCGGCAGTCCTGGCCCAGTGCTAGGTATTTACACATATTTGATTTTCATAACCCTCTGCAAGGTGAGTCTCATCACTATTTACAGATGAGGAAATTGAGGCTCCAGCATTGTGTCCTGCTCAAGATCAGTGCCTGGGCCCTAAGACTGGGCCTTAGAGCCACCTAACATTTTCTGTCTCTGTGACACTTTCCTCAGGAGTCTTCTGACCATTTTTGTTGTCCTAGAAAACCCCAGGGGATCGAGGGGAAGGTTAGGAGGAGCTTTGTAAAGATGGTCCAGCTAAGGCCTTGGGTACTGAAGGGCTTGTCATCCATGGTTCACATGGATGTCACTCACATGGATACTTGGTCAAGTGATTCTTGCTGACTTGACCCTGCTGGGATGGAGCAGAGGGAGCCCGTGTCTTCTGAAGGGGCTGAGAAGGTGGTGATTATGTCCCTGACTGCCCCATCTATCTTTGCAGAAGGAGCCCAGCGAAGTGCCAACACCTAAGAGACCTCGGGGCCGACCAAAGGGAAGCAAAAACAAGGGTGCTGCCAAGACCCGGGTGAGGCTTGAGATAGGGCCACTCCTGGGCAGATGTAAAGCAAAAATCCCTCTTGATTTCTCCATGGAGAAATGTAGAGAGGTCTGTAAAGGGTCCTGGGTTGTCCTGACTCCTGGAGCCCGTTCCCTGCACAGGGGGGATAGCACTGTGTTTTGCTCACTGGGGAAAACAGGGTGGTGACAGAGAGCTTACTTCTATGGGGTTGGTCCTGCTCAGGACAACTGAGGAGGTCAAGGCAGGAGTCCTGTAGCTTTCTTGGTCTGGAGAAAGTGGGGATAAGGCCAGATTCACAGTGGCATCAGGCTTTCAGAAAAGTTGTTTTGTTTTTTATTTTATTTTTTCAAGACACGACTCATATCCTCTGAGTCATAGGTGGAGGAGGGAGTAGGGGGCGTGTGTGTATGTTGAGTGGGGCAAGTGTGGCTGGCCAGTCATCACCAGCTGGTCTTGGGTGGACCTTCTGAGTGAGAGTCCTGGACTGCCCTAAACAGAGGTAGGTCTGCACCTATCTCACTGTCAAGGGCATTGGTCGTTGGTCATTGGGTGACCATTGTTGAACATTTTTGACTTAGGGGGTATTTTCTCTAACTCTCTAGAAAACCGCCACAACTCCAGGAAGGAAACCAAGGGGCAGACCCAAAAAACTGGTAGGTAAAGCAGCAGGGACTGGGACTCACCTCATTGGTTCTTGGGAGGGTGTTAATGTAGGTACCTAATCCTAAGCACCCACCATGGGTGTTCTTCTGGCCTGAGGCCTGGAGTTGCACAGGGCTTTGATGGGCTGTCCCTTTGAGAAGTGAGGGATCCCAAATAAGGCCACATCCTGGCCTGCTCTGCCCACCTGGTGCTGAAGGGGTTCTCGCCTCCCTCTGCCCCTAGAATAGATTCAGTACTAGGGGAGGGAGATACTAGAAGTCATCTAGTTTCTCCCCTCTCGTTTACAGGGATGAGGAAAGCCATCTGAGGAAGGGATGAGGCTTGTTCTCACTGTGATCCTTCTGGGAGCTTAGCCTTGGGCAGGGGTCACAGCTGGTTAAGAGTTGCTCACCAGGAGCATCATTCATTTCTGAGCCCCTAAATAGCTGGAGGGGAGGGTAGGTCAGGAGACTTAGGGTACCTCTAGGGATACGGTAATGATCATGCCAGCCTTTCCACTCCTGGCCATTCCTTACCCCTAACCTGCCCCCTTAACTCCAAGAAGCTCATTCCTAGAGCTGAGCCACCACTGGGGTGGGGTGGAGTGGGGTGGGGTGGGGGTTGGGGGTGCTGCTGGCTAGGCTCCTGGAGTGAGTAACAGGAAACAAGTTGTTTTGGAGTTTCTGCCTGTCACGGGGGCTAGCCCCCGTGTGGTGTCCCAACATTCCCGCCCAATGAGTGAGCCCCGGCACGGCACACTTCCCCTTCCTCCCCACCCTGGCCGGGGGTCAGCCCTCATCCACCCCAGAGGACTGTGGACTGGGGCTCCACAGCCAAGCACCTGCCACTATGGGGTAAGGCCACCTGGCTCCCCTGTATCAATAGAGGGGGCACACGTATCCTCCAGTCACTCTTTTTCTAGCCTCCCCGCCAACAGAGAACCAGTCAGGTCCTTGAATTAATGTGCACTGGGCTGTACCCCCTGCCTTTACCATGGGCCTGGGGGCCAAGGGGGCCTTGGCTTCTGGCTCTGGGTGAGAGCAGAATGTGTGTGGGTATTTTTCCTCCTTTTAAATTCTTCCTTTTTTATGAATGAAATCCTGCCGTAGAGGTTGCTGAGTCACCCACACACTCAGCCCTGACTCATCCCCCTTCTAGAGAAGTCAGGGAGTACAGGGAGGGGGTGGGGGCCAGACCCAGAGCTCACACTGATAGCTCTGCCCACCTCACAGGAGAAGGAGGAAGAGGAGGGCATCTCGCAGGAGTCCTCAGAGGAGGAGCAGTGACCGTGCCTGCCGCCTGCTCCCTTCACTGAGGAGCAGCTTCTTTCTGGGACTGGACAGCTTTGCTCCGCTCCCACTGCCCTGCCCTTCCCCCCAGGCCCCCATCACCACTGCCTCTGCCAGCCCCCCACCTGCCCTCACCTCCACACTACACAGCACACCAGCGGCTGCGGGGCCCCTAGGGGCTGTGTGGGGAGCAGTTTTCCCCTGGCCTTGGTTCCCAGCCATCCCTCCAACCCATGCATACACACTTGCTCTCCTGGACAAGGCTAACATCCCACTTAGCCGCGCTCTGCGCCTGCTCTGTCTCTACTCCCTCAACAGTGGGGACACTGCTCTGTGGGCTCTTGGTTTGGGGGCCCTCTCTGCTCCTCTACTATTCCCTCTGGCTTCCCATAGAGGGGCCTGGGAGGACTCCCCTGGCCTTAAAAGGGGCCCAGGCCCCATCTCATTCTGGCATACCCCATGCCACTGTCCTGGCAACAGGTGTGGCCAATGGAGGGGGCTGCTTGGCCCCTAGCCAGCCTGTGTCTTTGTCACCATGTTCTTCTTCCCTAGTCTCTGTAATAGGTTGGACAGCCCCTTAGGGCACATGAAGAAAGGTGGGAAGGGTATGAGTCTCTTCCCCCTAAACACAGGGGGTCCTAGCCCACCTTTCCCTCCACCTGGGATCCGAGACTATTTGAATGCTGGAGGCGCAGTCACCCCTTTTCCAGGAGAGGCCCAGATTCCCTGCAGCAGCCACCTAAGGTGGGCTGGGTCTGCTTGCCCTACTCTGACTTCTCTTACCCCACCTTGCAGCCAGGGTTCACCATGCCCACACCCCACCCTCCTGCTCCTCCCTAACCCCCAAGGTTCTGGTTCCATCTTTCCTCTGTTCACAAACTACCTCTGGACAGTTGTGTTGTTTTTTGTTCCATGTTCCATTCAACATCGTCATTGCTGCTACCAGCACCAAATGGTCATCCTCATTGCCTCCTGTTCTGCCCACATCATCCCCTCCCCCAAGATACTCTTTATGGGGAAGGGGGACTGAGGCACAGCAGGCTGGGTTACTGACCACCCCAGTCCCAGGGAAGGTGGGGCCCTGCCCCAAGGATGCTGCAGCAGAGTGAGGAGGGGGGCCTAAACTAACCATGAAGGGTATAGGGGCCACTTTCTTCCCCTGTTGGGGAGGGGGTGGCCATTATTTGTCCCAGCCAGGGGCTCCCCCTCTGGTTTCCTATTTGCAGTTACTTGAATAAAAAAATCCTTTTCTGGACTGGAGTTTGGTGTGTGCCCATAGAGCCTGGGATAGGTAGGAAAGAACCAAGGATGCAGATGGGAGGACACAGGTAGTTCTTGGGAGGTGCTCTGCCCTTATCCCTCAGACAGGGAGGGAGGAGAAATAGCATTAGAGTCAGCTCTAGGGTGGGTAATTGAGTCTCATTGAAAACTGGCCACACCCCTTCCCACAAAACATTTTTATTTACAAAATATATATATACTGAGTACTATACATCCCATTCTTGCCTGGTCACCATGGAGATAACTCAAAAAACTTACAAGCCCTCCTGGGTCTTTATGCTAAAGCCTAGTTCACAAGGATTATAGAAACCAAAGCTGCAGCCCAGTCCCCAGGAAGAAAAGTTTCTATTGGGACCTAGGTAGTGGGTGGTAGGCTCAGCACCCACACAAAGGGCTGAAGATAGTAGGGTGAGGCTTGGGAGTTGGCTAAGGTACAGGGCTTAGACAGTGGGTGCCGCTGGGAGGAGGGGGGAAATGGTGACCAGGTACCCAGCAGGAAGAGCTGGGTAAGTATAAGTGTGAGAAGGAAGCAGAACACGGCCCTGGGAGGTGGATGGATGTTCCCCCAAGGCTCTGAGGTTGGGGCAGAGGTCTCAGGTCATGTCTTGACATCCAGCAAGGGCATCCGCTTGTGCTGGTAGCTGCTCTGCCAGCCATGTACCACCTGTTGGGGGCAGGGAGGAAGACCACACCACAAGGCTGGGCTCTGGCTCCTTGGAGTCCACAGCATTTGGAGGAGGCATTCCTAGTTAGAGCCCCAGTGGGGAGGACAGCAGGCTATGGTTTCAGTACAGAGGTCCCCTAACCCTGGAGTGCTCACCTTGGGGTCTCCCACATCTGAGAGTAGCTCCTGCTCAGCCTCATGCAGCTCCTCAGCAGGGTCATAGCTGTACATGGGGAGCAGGTGATGGCGAAGACGGTCCACCCTGGGGAGGAACAAGGGGGCTCAGCCCAGGTATCCTTGACTGCCTGGTCTCCACTCCTGATTCTGTAAAGAGGCTTCTCCCCAGTAAAGAAACAGACTGGCAAGGGAAACGTTTCAAGCTTGTAGCAGGATGGCTGAGGGACCCCCTAACGTGCTCAGAGAACTTGGATCCTACTGGAAGAAACTTCAGCAGAACGCAGGTGGAGTTGGGGGTAGTGGAATACTTACCGTTGCTTCTTCTGTACATACATCACCTGGAACAGAGACAGCACTGTGGAGGCTGCTGAGCCTGTGAAGGCCCACCACAGCCAAACGGGACCCACCTCCACCCCCTTCACAGAACAGCTGAGACTGTGCAGACCAGATCAGGCCCACCCAGACCCTACTGTAGCAAGGGTGTGTATGTGTGTATGTGGGGGTTCCTTACCACAGCCACCACCACCCCGACCAGGGTGATGAGGAAGAAAGGCCCCAATACATAGCCCACCATGGAGTCGCTGTTGGCCTGGGGGGCATTAGGTACTGTGGTGTTACTCATGACATCCGCAGGTGGAGGGCTGAGTGGTCAGCATGGGCAGTGGTACTTCGGGAGGGCGCCTCCAGTGGGCTCCCTGGGGAGGAGGAAGGGAGGTTATCAGCTGCACCCTGGGTGACATCCTGACTGGATCACTCCCTCAGAGCTGGAGATCTCAGGTCAAACACTGGGAGGAAGATCCTCCAGGTAAATGTACTGGGTATAATCCTCCCCAGGTCCTGATCAGCTCCCATCCCTAAATCAGGGTGGGGCCCAGGTCAGATGCTGGCCAAACATTTACAAGTTTCAACTTTGGGGAAAGATTAGGTGCCTCCTAGTCGTTAGGAGGTGCATTGGGTTGTCAGCACCTATTTAGTGGAACAAAATGGAGATACTAGGTTAAGACAGGAGCACCCTGCGCTGCAACCTAGGGGTGATGTGGGAGCATTTGAAGGAGCCAGTGTCCATCCTGGTCCAATCTCCTTCAGACTATGGGCCTCATGGACGGGCTCTATCCTTAGTGTCACCTCAGACATACAGGCCGCACATCCACTCCCCTATCGGTCTCATGTGCCAAGGTGGACGCAGTGGGTAAAACTGGTTTGTATCTAAGGGATGATGTCACCTCCCTTCGGTTTCCAACCGGGACTCCGCCCAGGTCCCTCCTCTCGGCCAGTGCTGACAGGCGGAGGTGGAGAGGGTCAGCCTCCACCGACAGAAACAAGATTATCCTACGGCGGCTGCACGTAGATGGCCCAAGGCCCCGGACCCGGGTTCGCCTGGGTCTCCATCAGAGAGCGAGGTATGAGCTACCTATCCCCGTGTGGCACGGGGACCGGGCTTGGCATACCCAGTCGCATGCTCACCGTCCCAGGTCGAGGGGGCATGCCAGGGTGGGGAGGGCGTCAGGCCGCTTCTAGGATGCGGGCCACCAACGACAGACAGGAGGTAGTTTCCACGGCGCTGGGAGGCTCAGCCCAGGGGTGGGGTAATGTTGGGGGATCGCGGAGAGGCCGCCCTGCGCCTGGACATCTTGGAATCCCGGCACCCCGAGGCGTGGACCCGTGCCGGCGCTCTGCTGCCCAGCGGCCATGCCTTACCTCCCACCGCTGCAGCCCGGACAGGAACGCCCTCGGTTGGCTCCGGGACTCCGGAAGAGCCGGCAGGCGCGTGATCAAAGGACCCGGGGAAATGGGCGGGGCCGGAGCCTACTGGAGCCGCCAATCTGGAGGCGAGAGGTGGGCGGTGCGAGGGCAAGGGCGACCAGGCTTGCAAAGCCTTTCCCGTGGCGGCAGAGGGCAGCCGAAGGCTGTGCAGCTGGGGGAGGAGAGCGCTGGGCTCGGCGCTCGCACGCCTTCCCGGCATTCCCCAGGTCAGCACCGTGAGCAACTTAGCTCCCGAGCTCGGAAACTGGGAGGTAGTTGGGCGTCTGCCCTACTCCCTACTCACCCCATTTGTTGGGTCCCACATGTAGTGTCATGACATGTTCTAACATCCAGCCCACATGGCCTCCATTAGTGTTTGTTTCCCTTGACCTGTGTTCACGGGTAGAAGCAGCAGGCCTGGGTGCGCTCCTGCCAAGCTGTGGGATCTCAAACCCACCCACCCTCTCGCGCCTCAGTTTTAACTTCTGCAAAACAGGCTGTTGTGAAGACTAAATGATGACCTGGCTAAGGAGTCTAGCACATAGTATGCCCTGAATGTTAAGTTCTTCCTGTTAACCTCTTTCCAGAATACACATGGAGCAGCGGGGCGAGGTCCCTCTATGTCACAGGCAACTTGGTAAATTGATAAACTTGGGTAAGAGTTTACGTGGTCTGATCTTTAAAATGGCACACTTAGTGGAGAAATCTGAATAAGACTGGTGGAGTTCACCAACATCAATATCCAGGTTGTGATTATCATAGTTTTGGCAAATGTTATCAAGGAGTAAGCTAAACAAGGGTACAAGGGATATCTGTATTATTTCTTACAACTGCAAGTGAATCTAGTTACCTGAAACATAATATATGTGTGTACTACATATAAGTTTGTGTGTGTTTGTGTATACACAGTTCTGGCAGCTGAACCAGGTTAAAGCCCTCCTGGGTCATCAGGTAATGAATGGGGAAAGGGTATGACCTAGGTCACCCTATTCTTGATTCTTACCAGAGGAACCCTTAAGGGCATGTGTAAGGTTCTGGGAGCCAGGCCCTGCTAGCTAAAGGTGACCAATGATGGGATGTAGAGAGTCTGGCCTTAGGTTTTCTCAGGCCCTTATAGAGAAGGCTGGATGAAGGTAAGTCTGATAGAGCTAACCCAACTGGAAATCAGAGGGCAGATAGGAACTTCAATCTATTGCCTCCAGACAGTGCCACGTAACTGATGGGGATTAGGAATAGAGGGAAAGGAATGAAAGAAATGCCTAAACCTGAAAGCTCCAGGGGAGCTCCTTGTGCTCTAATGCTTTTGAGTCTAAAGAATACAGAAACTGTCCACCCTAGTCTTCTGGCAGACCTAGGTCTGCTTCACCCTGCAAGAAAGTCAGAAGCATATTCTGAACTGAATGCAAATAAAAACAGCAAATCAGAATTTGGGCTCTGTGCCTGTAACTCAGCAACTAGGGCACCAGCCACATACACTGGAGCTGGCAGATTGGAATCTAGCCCTGGCCTGCTAAACAACAATGACAACCACAACAAAAAATAGCTGAGTGTTGTGGCGGGCGCCTGTAGTCCCAGCTCTTTGGGAGGCTGAGGCAAGAGAATTGCTTAAGCCCAACAGTTTGAGTTTGCTGTGAGCTGTGAGGTCATTGCACTCTACTGAGGGCAACAAAGTGAGACTCTGTCTTAAAAAAAAAAAAAAATCAGAATTTGTGGGAAGCCTCTAAAATGGAGAGGAATTTTTACTTTTTATTTTATTTTTTGAGACAGAGCCTCAAGCTGCCCCCCTGGGTAGAGTGCTGTGGCATCACAGCTCACAGCAACCTCCAACTCCTGGGCGCAGGTGAGTCTCCTGCCTTTGCCTCCCAAGTAGCTGGGGACCACAGGCCCCTGCCACAACACCTGGCTATTTTTTTTGGTTGCAGCCATCATTGTTGTTTGGCCAGCCTGGGCTGGATTTGAACCTGCCACCTTAGGTGTATGTGGCTGGCGCCTTAGCCACTTGAGCCACAGGCGCTGAGCCGAGAGGAATTTTTAGGACTAAATGCCTCTATTTAAGAAAAAGAAAGAAAGGTCTCATGTCAGTGACCTCAGCTACTACTTAACACCAAAATATGGGCTGGATGTAGGGGTTCATGCCTATAATCCTAGCATTTTGGAAGGCTAAGGTAGGAGGATCACTTGAGCCTAGTAGACCAGTGTGGGCAACATAGACTCTGTCTCTACCAAAAACTAAAAGGAAATAAGAGTGTTGCCTGTGGCTCAGTGAATAGGTGCCAGACCCATATACTGAGGGTGGTGGGTTCGAACCTGACCCCAGCCAAACTGCAACAAAAATATAGCCAGGCATTGTGGCGGGTGCCTGTAGTCTCGGCTGCTTGGGAGGCTGAGGCAGGAGAATTGCCTAAGCCCAAGAGCTGGAGGTTGCTGTGAGCTGTGACACCACAGCACTCTACCAAGGGTAACAAAGTGAGACTCTGTCTTAAAAATAAAATAAAATAAAAGGAGATAGCAGGACTTGGTGACACACACCTGTATTCCCAGTTACTCAGGAAACTGTGGCAGGAAGATATCTTGAGCTCTGGAGTTGGATGTTGCAGTGAGTTATGATGCTGTGAGACCCTGTCTCTCTCACACAGACACACAAACAAATAATAAATAAATAATTACAAAGTATGAAGAAGAAGAGAAATAACAAAGATCAATGTAGGGTGGCACCTGTAGCTCAGTGAATAGGTGGCCGGCCCCATATACCAAGGGTGGTGGATTTGAACCTGACCTCGGCCAAACTGCAACAACAACAACAACAAAAAAGATCAATGTAGAAATATATATATATAGAGAGAGAGAGAGAGAGAGAGAGACGGAGACAGAGTCTACCTCTGTTGCCCTGGGTACAGTGCCATGGCATCATCATAGCTTACAGCAACCTCAAACTCTTGGGCTCATGAGATCCTACTGTTTCAGCCTCCCAAGTAGCTGGAACTACAGGCACCCACCACAATGCTAGCTAGTTTTTCTTTTCTTTCTTTCTTTTTCTTTCTTTCTTTTTTTTTGAGACAGAGTCTCCCCATGTCACCTTAGGTAGAGTGCCATGGTGTCATAGCTCACAGCAACCTCAAGGTCTTGGACTTAAGTGATTCTCTTGCTTCAGCCTCCCAAGTAGCTGGGACTACAGGCACCCACCACAATGCCTGGCTATTTTTTGGTTGCAGTTGTCATTGTGGTTTGGCAGGCCCACGCTGGATTCAAACGCGCCAGCTCTGGTGTATGTGGCTGGCACCCTAGCCACTGAGCTATAGGGGCTGAGCCAGTTTTTCTATTTTTAGTAGAGACAGAGTCTCACTCTTGCTAAGGCTGGTCTTGAGCTCCTGAGCTCAAGCAATCCACCCACCTCAGTCTCTCAGAGTGCTTGGATTAAAGGGGTGAGCCACCATGCCCTGCCAATGTAGAAATTTTTAAAATTAGACAACAGGAAAATAGGGCAGCACCTGTGGCTCAGTGAGTAGGGTTCCAGCCCCACATACCAAGGGTGGTGGGTTCAAACCCAGTCCCGGCCAAACTGCAACAACAAAATAGCTGGGTGTTGTGGTAGGCGCCTGTAGTCTCAGCTACTCGGGAGGCTGAGGCAAGAGAATGGTCTAAGCCCAAGAGCTGGAGGTTACTATGAGCTGTGATGCCACGTACTCTACTGAGGATGACAAAGTGAGACTCTGTCTCTGAAAAAAAAAAGAAAGAAAGAAAGAAGGAAAAAGAAAACAGGAAAATATAGAAAATCAATGAAACCAAAAAGTGTTTCTTTAGATCAATAACATTTACAAATTTCTATCCAGAATGATCAAGAAAAAAGAGAGAAGACATAAATCACCAATATCAGGAAAAAGATGACATCGCTACAGATTCTTCAGATAACAAAAGAATACTTAAGGAATACTAGGAGCAATCTTATGCCTATGAATTAGCACTTAGGCAAAATGGCAGCCAGCCTGGATAAACACAGTGAGACCTCACCTGGAGGAGGAAGAAAAAGAAGAGGAAGAATTATTTATATAATCAGTTAGAATGGATATAATCTCTATTTTAATAATGTACATTTAATTATTCCAATTCTGCCCCTCCCTTTATGTTGCTGTTGTTACAAATTTATATGTTGTGGATATGTTAACATAGATTTATAATTATTGTTTTAGCCATTTTTCTGGTTTGGTTTTGTTTTGGTTGCAGTTGTCATTGTTGTTCAGTAGGCCTGGGGTGTGCTCGAACCTGCTAGCCTTCCTGTATGTGGCTGGTGTCCTACTCACTGAGCTACAGGTGCTGAGCCATTTTGTTTTGTTTTTAGACAAGAATCTCATTTTGTCACCCTTGGTAGAGTGCCATGGCATCATAGCTCACAGCAGCCTCAAACTTTTGGGCTTAAATGATTCTCTTGCCTCAGCCTCTCAAGTAGCTGGGACTGCAGGTATCTACCACAATGCCTGACTATTTCTTTTCTTTTAGAGATGGGGTCTTGCTCTTGCTTAGGCTGGTCTTGAACTTGTGAGCTCAAGCAATCCACCTGCCTCAGCCTCCCAGAATGCTAGGATTATAGACATGAGCCACTGCACCTGCTAGCATTTATCTTTTAAATCACATAGGAAACAAAAAGAGGAGTTATATGCCAAAAATATAATAATAACAGGTATTATAATATCTATACTAATACATAGGTTTTATATTTACCAATATAAATATAGGTAGTTACACTTACTAGTGGTCTTTATGTGGCTTTAAGTTATCATCCAGTGCTCTTTTGTTTCAGTCTAAAGGACTCCATTTAGCATTTCTCTTAGGGTAGGTCTACTAGAAATAAATTCCTTTAGTTTTTGCTTATCTGGAATTACCTATTTAACTTCTCTCCCATTTTGAATTACAGTTTTTCTGGATATACAATTCTTGGGTGACAGGTTTAGTTGTTGCTTTTTTTTTTTCTGTATTAGTGCTGTAAACATATCATCCCACTGGTTTCTGCCCTCCATGTTTTTTGACAATAAGTAGAGTGTTTATCTTAGTATGTTCCTATAATCCTCATAATAACCACTAAGAAAACAACTAAGAAATATACAGAAAAGCAAATGAAGAAGAAATAAAAATGTTGCATTAGAAAAAAACCAATCATAAAAGAGCACACTGAGAAATTGAGGAAAAAGGACATAGAAAAAATAACACTATGGCAGAAGTTCTTAAATATGAATAATTACATTAAAAGTAAATGGATTAAATGCATCAGTTAAAAAAAGGCAGTGACTGGTGATGGCTGCAAAACATTGTGAATATGTATATATCTATCTACACTCACACATACATATATATTTTTTTCTTTGTTGTTTTTTTTTGTAGAGACAGAGTCTTACTTTATC